TTCGGAGGCGGCTGTCATGAATTGCAAGCATATCCACCACATAAGACTCAACAGTGTAATAGTTGTGGTCACAAGGCATATATATCAGAATTTTTCTCGTTTTCTAACTGCTGAATCTCAAATGAAAGTGGGCGATTGTTTAAACGCAAGAATGCATTGCGGTCGATAATTGAAGGAGCCAATCTGTGGTAAGGGTATTCGGCTGATTTTCAGCAAGATTGCGGGAAAGATCTCGAAAAAAAGTTGGTCCGCAATTTGACGTCATGCTGTTTACCCAGCCAAGTGTCAACTTGAACATTGTTCCTCAAGTTTGATCAATGCACTCTATCAAGAGATACACGGTACCAACCACATCGTCTTAAGAAGCTTGGGTTCTGTCCGAGTGACAGCATTAGCACGAAGGTGCTAAGAGGCCGAAAAATGATAACAGTCAGGCGGCGTAAATATTGAAGGCTTCGATTTAGAAAGGGTAGGTTTTCAAATCCGAGTGAACTAGATTTTCCAATCTAGTCGATATGCTACTGTCAAGAACAGTTGGATTCGAATCGTTTCACCTGTTGACATGGCAAAGCCATACAATCGTAGAATTGGCACGTCTGGTCAGTTATCTTCAAAGCCATGCATAGGCACCAGCCTCACACTGTATCTTTTCATCGCCAATTCCCATGCCGAAAGCCCTCCCCAACACGATATGGAAGAGGAAATCGAAGGGGGACACATTGTCCCGATTGCTGCTTGCCCTTCCAGGTATCTATAGTAACTGGGACACGTTGAAGCGGCCGCAGAACCTGTCCTTCATGTCTGCCACATGACATACTTCGGTGGATCTTAAACCCAGATGGGGGATAATAACATCTTTCATCCACACACGTTTATCGCTGAGGTGAGAGAAGAAGCGAGTTTGTTGGTAATAGTCGTAGCCCAGCTCGTGAAGGATATTGACCCTCCGCTCCTTGGCAAGAGAGTACGTGATTTCCTCCTTCAGGAGACGGCGTGTTCTCGGCATATTTAATGTAGATAATGTTGTTGAAGCGACCTCCACTGAGTCTCTGCTGAGTCGTCGGTGTCTTTTTTTTGTTGGCAATGTGCTGTAGGTCCAGTCCAGCCCCTGAAATGCCAAGAGTGAGTGAGTGATATTGCTGAACTAGTTAACTAACTATATAATGAATGTACAGAGGGTTCTATGAAGCGAATATAAGCATTGAATCCAATTCAGTGAATAATCACCGTTCTTTTCGAACTCCTTGCTCCATCCTAAACTCTTACCACTTTCACCCAGTTTTTATAGACTGCGGATCGTTCGCTTCCCCCCTATTTATTCTAACTATTAATCTATGGCTCACAAAGATCAATGAAACAGCATACGCCGGGGCAGAGATTTCCGAATTCGGAAGAATTGAAGCATAATAAATGAAAGCTAGCTTTGTGGCATTTTTGATAGATAAGTTTTGGATGATGGTGGTCGCTTGGGCAGCGAGCTCGCCGGCCGCCGTTTGACAGGTTCGTAGCTAAGATACGCAGTATGTAGTTATACGGCTGTGTGCGGGGAGCTAGACACATTCCGCACACCGTTCGTCAACCCCTATCTTAACTAATCAATCATCTGACCTCCATACGCTGCGAGCCTCCCGACCTGATAATTAAACTTTGATCTCCCGGCCAAGGGGCTGTTCACTCCTCCTGCCACCAATAAGAGAAGTAAGAGCAACCATCCGTACGGAAACCTATTTGTAAGCTTGTACCTTAGCTTAGTTAGTAGCTAGATATAACTATGTTTAAGGACGTCATTGTTGGGAAGGGGTGGAAGCTCCGGACGGAGATCAAGAAGACTTAAACTTACCTCCATAACTGCAAGAGTGTTGGATGTTCACAACAAGAAGCCGAGCGAGCATACGGAATGTTTGCATCTCGTCTCATTCTCTGGTAAAAGAAAATCCGCACATTGCCCAAGAAGCAGAGCGTACGAAGAGAGCTAGATCTCTTTCTCAGTTGGCATCTCTATCTCTTGCATCGGAGCCCACGTTCACCTGACTCCTAAAAACGGCTTTGTCGTAGTGCAACTGGCTGTGAAGGTTAAGAAGTTACTCCGTACGGACCATGGAGGCCTTCCTCCACAACACCATGTGGGAGGGAGGAGAGAGCAGGCGAGAACTTTCTTGG